GCCCCAGTACCTAGGAGGGGGTGAGCCCCAGTAGCTGGGGGTGGCGGGCAGGGTGAGCCCCAGTAGCTGGGGGGGGATGGGGGTGAACCCCAGTACCTAGAGGGGGTGAACCCCAGTACCTAGGAGGGGGGCTGAGCTGGGGGTGGTGGGCAGGGTGAGCCCCAGTAGCTGGGGAGGGGATGGGGGTGAACCCCAGTACCTAGAGGGGGTGAGCCCCAGTAACTAGGAGGGGCAGGGGTGAGCCCCAGTAACTAAGGGATAGGGTGAGCCTCAGTAGCTGGGAGCCCCAGTATCTAGGTGGGGGTGAGTCCCAGTAGCTGGGAGGGGCAGGCAGGTGAGTCTCAGTATCTGGGAGAGGGCGGGGTGAATGAGCCCTAACCCTTGAATTTTCCAGAGGAAGGGGCTGAATTGCTACCTGTAGCTATGGGAATGCCATTGGTGCTGGAAGTGTACATTTCCCAAGGCAGAAGGTGACCCCTTGCCTTGCGCCATGGATTCTGGGGCTCGGTTTGTGTTTGCCACGTGCTGCAAGAGGCTGAGCTGGAAGGATGAAGTGTGGTCAGACAATGCTTTTTATTTTCCTTAGGAGTCACGGCCCTTGATTTACAGGCTAGTTGAACGGATAAGAGATTTTTTTGAGTCATTTTTTCTGATTGCATCCACGTAGGGCTGGCCCTATGTTGTTCAGAGCCCTATGGGAGGTCGTGTGCAGGGGCTGAGTTGGATTTCCAGGGTGTGCACAAATCTTGGAGGGGTTGAGAGAAGACTTTAGCAGTTGGAGTGCATGGGGGTGGTTTTGTTGTTCGGGTTTTTTTTTTCTCCCCTCCGGTGCTTTAGCAAGGAGGTCTAGGGTGCAGGGACCCCAAAGGGGAGTGTCTTTATGGTTGGCCACTTTGCATATGGCTTAAGTCTAGCCCTGAGTCCATGCTGTTGCCCTATTTTGGTTTTAGGTATTTGTACAGCACCAGTCACTCTGGTGTCTAGGTGCCAGTGGCACTATTTCATCAATAAAAAACAAATGCCTTCCAGGTATGTGGTTAAAATTTACCAGACATCTTTGTTTTGTGGGTTTTTTTTTTTTTTAGGTTTCGCCTCCAGTCCTGTAAAAGGACCAGTTGGATTCCTCGCTAATATTCAACACACAGGTTTCAGGACTATCATTTCAATTGTGGAAGATGTCATCTGGCCTTACGGAAGAACAGAAAAGAAAAATTGAGGAGAACAGACAGAAGGCCTTGGCTAGGAGAGCAGAGAGACTAGCAGCCCAGCGAGGAGGACCTGGTGGGCTCACTAGCCAACCATCCAACCTGCAGAATCCAAGTTATCGAAGAAACGTGGAGCATCAGTGTGTGAAACAAGAAGACAATCATGTTAGGTTCATTAGCCTACACCAGCAGACTCCCAATAGCCATGTGGTGCAGAAGAGCTATGTTCATAAAGGATATAATCACTTTAGCGCACCCCAGCAGATGGCTGGTTCATGTGGCTTGCAACAGGAGAATTGTTCAGAGGGCTCAAACCAAGATTCGTGGAGTCAAATGTGCAGCACTAAACAGTCCCTCCCAATACTCCAGAATTCTTTGAGTTATTCCCATCAACATTATTCAGGTTCTGAGCAACCCAAGGACCACCCAGCATTCAAAAAACCTACAGAACCGTCTCATCCTAGATTAACTGCTAATGAGCATCCTGATGATGTTAAAGGTTTACAAAGTCTGAACAGATCTGCCAGTGGACATGTTGACATGAAATACATGCCATCACCGAGCAGTGCTACCTTGAATGATTCTGAAATGCCAACAAATGCAGGGAAACCAACCTGTGGGCCCTTCCCGAAAAAGGATAGCATCTCACAGTTCTGTGGCACTATGCGGCCACCCACTCCGTTGAAGGAGGGTAAGATGCAAAAGGTGGCCAGTGCTGGTGGTGTGGGCTCTACCTTGGAAGTATCCTGTCATAGAAAAGTACCCAGTGTTATCAAAGGAAGGTGCGTGAAGCACAGAGAAGACCGATTCCGGGTTGAAGTAGGCTACAATGCAGAACTTGTCGCTGTGTTTAAGAGCATACCTAGCAAAAGTTATGGTAAGAAAACATAGAACAATTTCTTAAGGTTGGTTTATGCCCCTGTTGTTCTTAAGAAAAATCGGTATATCAGTCTCTTTAAGGAACTGTACAGAAATCGCCTCACCCGTCACAGAAATGGAGCTATTTGCAGGGGTGGAATATGGCAATGATGTTGTATATAGTTTTTAGGGGGGATGTGAAAAGTTGAAACTGCAGAAGAATTCAGGGAGTAAATAACTCAGACTGGAATTTAGCCCAGATAATCTCCATTAACCCCCCGCTGCTTGTATGAAAAGTGTACTGAGATGTTTTGTGACTTCAGGCGGTCAGAACTAGAGCTGGTTGGAAACTGGATTTTTCCACCTTGCAAAAAATTTTGATCTTTTGGAAAAATTATCCTGATTGGGGAATTTTTTTTTTTAATTTTTCACAAAATGAAATTTTTTAAAATAAATTGAGTAAATCAAAATGTTTAATTTCAGTACATTTGAAATGTGTTGATTTTGACCTTTAAAAAAAAATATATTAAAGTACATTTTGAAATGAAAAGTCACTTTGAAACAAAACAAAACAAAAAAGTCAAAGCTTTTCATTCCAAAAATGTCAAAACATTTCAAAATGTTTTTCCATTTGTTTCAAAATGAAATTTCATTTAATTTATGATTGTGGAAAAAAATATTTTTGTCAAAATGGTACTTTTTGACGGAAAACTATTTTGACAAAAAAAATTCCTACCAGTTTTAGTCAGAATCTTTGAGGGGGAAAACAGTATTTTGGAAATTGGTATTGGAGAAATGGTCAGTTAGTTTCAGTTGCTCTTGGACAGTTGGTTGACTCATAGTCTTTAAGGCCAGAAGGGACCATCATGATAATCTAGTCTGACCTTCTGCACATCACAGACCACAAAACTTCACCCACCCTCTCCTGAAATAGGCCCATAACTTCTGACCGAGGTACTGAGGACCTCAAATCTCAATTTAAAGACTTCAAGTTACAGAGAATCTATCATTCACTCTAGTTCAAACCAGTAAGTGACTCGTGCCCTGTGCTGCAATGGAAGGCGAAAACCCGCTAGGGTTTCTGCCAATCTCACTTGGTGAAAATTGCTTCCCGATCCCAAATATAGCAATCAGTTAGCCCTGAGCATGTGAGACCCACCAGCCAGACACCTGGGAAAGCATTCACTGTAGTAATTCAGAGCCCTCCCCATCTAGAGCCACATCTCTGGCCACTGGAGATATTTGCTAATAGCTGTCACTCGTGGACCATATGCCATTGTAGGCAACGTCATTATACCATCCCCCCTCCATAAAGTTATCAAGCTCAGTCTTGAAACAAGTTAGTTTTTTGCCCCCACTAGTCCCTTTGGAAAGCTGTTACAGAACTTCAGTCCTCTGATGGTTAGAAACCTGCATCTAAGGCAGGGGTGGGCAAACTACGGCCCGGGAGTCGCATCCGGCCCTCCAGACATTTTAATCTGGTCCTTGAGCTCCTGCCAGGGAACGGGGTCTGGGGCTTGCCCCACTCCGCACAGTTCCCAGAAACAGCGGTATGTCCCCCCACATAGGGACAGCTAGGGGGCTCCACACGCTGTCCCCACCCCAAGCGCCATCCCTGCATTTCCCATTGGCCGTGGTTCCCGGCCAATGGGAGCTGAAGGGGCAGCGCCTGCGAACAGGGCAGCGTGCAGAGTCGCCTGTCCGTGTCTCCACGTAGGAACTTCTGGGAGCTGCTTGAGGTAAGCGCTGCCTACAGCCAGCACCCGTGATCCTTGCCCATGCCCCAACCCCTTGCTCACGCCCTGATCCCTCTCCTGCCCTCCAAACCCCTCGGTCCCAGCCCGGAGCACCCTCCTGCATCCCCAACACCTCATCCCCAGCCCCACCCCAAAGCCTGCATCCCCAGCCGGAGCCCTCAGCACCCCTCCCGGCACCCCAACCCTCAGCCCAGAGCCCACTCCCGCACCCTGAACTCCTCATTTGTGGCCCCACCCCAGAGCCCACACCCCCAGCTGGAGCCCTCACCCCCTCCTGCACCCCAACCCCCAATTTTGTGAGCATTCATGGCCCACCATACAATTTCCATACCCAGATGTGGCCCTCGGGCCAAAAAGTTTGCCCACCCCTGATCTAAGGCTATGTCTACACTGCACTTTCGTCAGTAAAACTTTTGTCAATCGGGGTGTGAAAAAAATGCTCCCCCCTCCCCCCCGACTGACAAAAGTGTTACCAACGAAAAGCGCCAGTGTGGACAGCACTTTGTCGGCAGGAGACGCTCTCCTGCCGCCGAAGTTACTGCCCCTTGTTGGGGGTGTTTTTATTTTGTCAGCAGGAGACCTCTCTCCTGCCGACAAAGCGCGGCTACGCTGCGTACCGTACAGCAACACGGCTGTTGCCGCACAGCTATGTCGATGTACGGTGCTTGGTGTAGACACTGCCTAATTTGAAGCCTAAACTTATTGATGGCCCATGTACATCCATATGTTCTTGTGCCCATATTGTCCCTTAACTCAAGTCTGTAATCAGCACCAGTCTAACCCTATGGTCTCCAACCGTCTAAGGCCTGGTCCCCACTAACCTCCCACTTCAGACTAAGGTACGCAAGTTCAGCTACGTTAATAACGTAGCTGAATTCGAAGTACCTTAGTCCGAACTTACTGCGGGTCCAGACGTGGCAGGGAGGCTCCCCCGTCGATGCCGCGTACTCCTCTCGCCGAGCTGGAGTACCGGCGTCGATGGCGAGCACTTCCGGGATCGATTTATCGCGTCTTAACCAAACGCGATAAATTGATCCCAGAACATTGATTGCCTGCCGCCGGACCCTCCGGTAAGTGAAGACGTACCCCTAGTGTCCTTTAGGTTCTCCTCCTTAAAGTCCAAGGGTGCGCACAAATATTTGTACCCACCCTTATTTGCAAAATCCTTTGTCCTTTTCAGTCAGTGCTGTGGTTTACTTCCACACCCCTCTCATATTTGTGTGGATGTTTGTTTTGCTATCCTACTGCTAAGTCTTTCTGTATTTCCAACTGCCCTGCAGTCGTAATAACAATGCACAGTGTTTCTGACAGGTACGTGTGAAGTGTCTGTATAAACAGACCAGATTCTCTTTAATTACTAAGCCTTTAACAGCACAGTTTGTTTCTATTCCCAAATGACTCAAATTCTGTCCAATTTCAGATCCTGCTACGAAGATTTGGAATTTTAGTTTAGAAGACTACAGAAGTCTCAGTAAGTGAGCAGACCTACGGAGTGATATGCAGGATCAAAGTCTCTCTGTCATCTTTGCAAGATTATTGTTGGCTGTGTTATTGCTTGGAGTAACGACGGGGCAGCACTGTTCAAACAGAAAACCCATTCTTCAGGCATGGGGCTTTTGAGGGTCTGCTGTGAATCTCTGAAGTTATTTAGAATTAACTGGGTTTCCAGGTGTAATCTAAATGCTAAGTATATGCTTTCTCCATTCACTAACTGCATGTTTCAGGGGCGAACAAGCCACAGTATATGGTTGAGTTCATGCAAGTAGTTCCTATGGGTTCATGCAGAGAAAGTGAAAACATTCCAGAAGTGCAGACTGGCTAATACTTTGATGAATGATGCCATCTTTTTAAACAGCAAACTAAATGTAGGTTTCATGAAGCTGTTTATTGGGAGTGTGGGAAGTGAAATGGCATGATCTTCTTGGCTTTGTGAGGTTGCCATTGTGGTTGCCTCAGAATCTGGAATAATAGGGGATGGTTTTCTTCGTTGTGGACTGAGGAAGGTTTGAGATGGTTGCAGCCGTGCATTTCAGGTGGGCTTTTCAAAAGCATGCAGTCTTGATCCAACTTTGCTTTCCTTGAAGTCGATGGTAAAACTGCTGTTGATTTCAATGGGAGCAGATTTAGGCCAATGCTTTGGAAAAGTCCACCCTTCAGGCCTAATTTTAACCTCCCATGCAGATTGCTGTATATTTAAGCGCTGACCGGTGCCTCTCTTCTGTATCTTATACCGCGTAAGCAGGGTCCTAGCCCTGCCCAGCTTACTGTCTAACTAGACCATTTTAAAATAGCACATCATCTTTTTTTAAAATGTCTTGTCAAATTATCCTGAAGCATGAGCTTATGGTAGAAGGCACCTGGTGAAAAGCAGCTGCTGGTATCCCCATCAGTAGATGGTTACCAAAGACAATCCCGAGTGTTTCATACACTATGGGTAAATGGACTCTTTCGACTTGAAATCTAGGCAGTTTTTTAAAGAATAGTTCAAAAAATAGTGGCAGGTTCTGTACCTTCCTCTGCCAGTTTCTGTGGTTTTACAATTACACTTTCCTGTACTTTTAAAAAAAAATTCCGTCTTTTATTGTTTGTGAAAGACCCAATCAAATAGGGGAAACAAAATGTACACAAAATGAACAAATAGAGAGGTTCTTCCCCCCCCCCCCAATTTCTTTAAAGCAGGGGCGGGTTGTAGCTATATTAGATATAAAGAATCAGATAAAAATGAAAGTTTCCATACAGGCTTTAATTGTCCGATGCGTCTTCTGAAATTCTCTTTTTGGGATGAAATTTCACATGCTTGGCTTCAGTTTGGAGGTGGCTCTTTTTTTTTTTTGGCAAATTGGATGAAAATCCGTTTTGTCTCTTTGGAATTATGGTGGGGGGAGGGGAGACGGGGGCGAAATCTACTTTTCCAGCTTAAAAAAGCCCCCAAACCTTAAGGCTTTTGGAGCTCGTCAATAGCTCAGAATGTCGGCAAAGGAAGCTTTACTGTTGTCGTATTGCTTAACTCACGAAGGAATGGCCTCTGAGTTTGTAAGATGGGGCTGGGGGGAACCCGCTGTAATAATGTGGCTTCTGAGCATGCTCAGTGATCCTCTATTAAGAATTTAATTTAATGGTACTTAAGGAAATTTTGCCCCTTAAGTCAGGTAGTGACATTACACAGGAGGCAGAGAGATTTCAGATCACACCCCTGGTGGCTAAGAGGGCACCTGGGCAGGGCTGGTGCAGTTTGGCTGTTGGATTCTCTATCTCTTCATTGCCAGCTCTGCTTCTCTTCTGTTCTCATTGTCTGCTCTGAAGTGGGAGAGTGGGTTCGCCCTGCTGTTGCACCTCACCTCAGCTCCCTGATCCTTGCTCTACAGGAAACAGGGCCAGCTGTCCCCTTTTAGAGGAGCGTGGCCTGCTCTGCTGATCTCCTTTCCCTCCTCGTCCCAAAACATCCTGCACCTTTTGTCTGGGTTCAGTTTGGCTCCTGCTCTTTCTGTCCCTCGGGGAATCGAAGTTTTCATGGTCTGCCCAATTTTTCATTTATTCTTTCCCATAAAGCCATTATTTTCCCCCCTAGTGGAAGCAGTGAAGCCGCTTTCCTCAGTGACTTTGGTACCATTTGAAGAGATGGATGCAACTCGCCCAGCCCTGTGTTCTCAATCTGTCAGCAGCGGGCCCAGCTTGAAATCCTTCTTAAAGACATTCAGCGGCTGGAAGAAACCCTCTGCCACCGTCCGGGGGAAGTGTGTTCTGATCTCGCGCTCCCGGTTTGAGGTTGAGATTGGGTATGCTGCAGAAATTATCGAAGTGTTTAAACAGATGAATTCCAGGAATTACGGTGAGTCTCTGGTTTAATTGCTACATTAATGTAGTGGTGGTGTTAGTGCTAGCTGTCTTCACTAACGCTTATGAAGTGCTTTTGGATTGAAAGATGAGGGGTGGTATACAAGAGCAACTCTGTTCTGGACAGGCTGAAAGGAGAGGATCTGTGTCACGGAGGGTTTTGGTATCTGTTGTAATAATGTTGGGATACTTAAACATTGTGCCCATTGCTTTGCTCTGTGGCAGCATGACTGACTCCTCATTTTGTTCAGAGACAAATTCCAGTATCAGAGGGGTAGCCGTGTTAGTCTGAATCTGTAAAAAGCAACAGAGGGTCCTGTGGCACCTTCTGTTAGTCTTAAAGGTGCCACAGGACCCTCTGTTGCTTTAGACAAATTCCAAAGACCATATTTTGATGCTGGATGTGCTGAATTTGACCAGTGGTGCCCAACCTTTGCATCTCCCCACCTAATATGTAGTTTTCATCATCAAAAATGACAGAACAAGTCAATGTGGAAATGTGCATGTTCTTCCCAGAGAATGAACTAGAATTGGTTGAGTTCACCAGCAGCCATGCTAATGTTTAGGAGGAGTTCTAATAGCACTCTCAGAACTATAAAGGGAGTTAAATATCCCCATCCTCACTTTACAGACAGGCAAACTGAAGGACAAAGAGGTGAAGTGACTTGCCCAGTGTCACGGCAGGCCAGTGCAGGGCCGGCTCCAGGCACCAGCTGAGCAAGCTGGTGCTTGGGGCGGCAGATTGTTGGAGGCGGCATTGTGCCCAATCCTAGGGCGGCACGGCCGCTTTTTGTTGTTGTTGTTCCGCTCCGGCCACCCTGTAGGGGGCGGCGGCGCAGAGGACCGGAGCGCCCTGCAGTGCAGTCCTCTTCCTTCCCTCCCCGCCGACCGGAGCGGAGCCCTGGTGGCAGGAGGCGGCGCAGCGGGAGGAGCCGCGTGGCAGCGCTTTTGCTGTAGCCCTGGCCGCCCCCTTCTCTCTCTCTCTCTCTCCCTCCCTGCCCCCCAGCTGGTCCCCCTGCACCCGTGCTCCGGCCGCGTCACAGGTTTTTTTTTGCTTGGGGCAGCCAAAAAGCCAGAGCGGGGAAGCGAACCCAGGCCTCTTGACCCACCAGCCTGTGCCTAGTCTGCTGCATCATTCTTTTTGCTTGCAGTGGATCAGCTTTTTACTCACCCTTGACTTCCAGGAAGACGCAACTGCTGTCAGAACAGCCGTCCGAGTTCGGCCCTAGCGCTGCACTTCGGGTATGCATGAATGAGGCAGTCCCGCAACTAGCTATTACTCTCTGAAAGTCAGCTGGGGTCTCATTGCCCGTGTACTCGGCTGAGAACATTCCCTCCCTTCCTCAAAACCATTTGGTTAGCATGGGATAGGAAAGGTTTTAAAAAAAAAAAAAGAACTGGCCAAGGTGGAAACAGTTTCAAAGCGGTTGTGAAATGGAGAGAATATTGAATGCTCCTGTCGCTGCTTGTTTATGGAAGAGTCAGGTGGTGGTGGTTTTTTTTAAACATCCTTTCTGACAACATTTGATTATTTTATTATTGTGACCCTTACAGACATGAAGACCAGAAAATGGAGTTTCCTACTGGAGGACTATCCAAGGCTAAGTGAGAAGCTGCATTTTCCTAGTGGGCTCTGTTCTCTTGGGACGGTGATCGAATTCTAATTCCATTTCTGGGGATAAGCGGGGATTGAAGTGGTAACGAACTCCCGGGCTGGCTGTCCTATTGCCCTATCAAATAGATTTTTTGTGTGGGTTACACAGACTCGGAAACCTGGTTGTAATGTGTGTATATTAGTAATAATTATGGTAGCCTGCCAGAGGCCCATTCAGGGCCCCATTGTTCGAGGTGCTGCACAAAGGCATATGAAGATGTGATCTCTGCCAGGAGTAGAATTTCTGTTGTTTTTATTTCATATATTTTTTACTGTGTGTGATGATAATTATGAAAGTGAATTAATAATGGGGGGGGGGGGCGGGGGAGTGTCCTACAGTAACTTACTCTCAGTTCTAGAGTGAATTAAACAATGGAGAGAGAATGGCTTTCCTCACTAATTCCCCAAGCTGCAACAGGGGCTGCTGGCCCTTCATGTCCATCTCTGCAGAATTCTGGGTCACTAGATCTGTACAGTTGGACTCCTAGGGTATGTCTCCACAGCAAAGAAAAACCTGCAGCTTGCCCATGCCCGTGTTAGTCTGTGGACTTCTGGGTTCAGGCTGGAGCCCAAGCTCTGGAACCCTCTCACTCCACAGGGTCCTAGAGCTCGGCCACCAGCCCAAGTCCAGAAGTCTACACAGCAAAGAAACAGCCCCATAGCCCAAGTCGACTAGCACAGGCCAGCCATGGGTGTCTAGTTGCTGTGTAGAAATACCCTTAGTGTCTTCTACCCTGGCCTGTCCCTAGTTCCCCACCCTCCTCCCTCGTGCTGGCCTGTTCTGCAGCTGGCACGCAGTCCCCCCCAAACCGTGGTGAACAAGGGATGTGCAGGCATGAGTGCTCTGCCCACACTCCTGCAAGTAGCCCATTGCAGGACTTAAGTACTGTGGAGAATATCGTGCTGGTGATTTTTCACCTTCTGAGTTTGTTCAGTTTATAAGTGAACGGATGATTTTTCTAACTGCCAGTATCAGAACCGTAGTCTGGGTGCTGACTGTCAAGGTGGTTTTGTACATTTTTTGAGTAAAATATATTGAGTGAAAGAGCATCATTCTTCTACTTATAAGTACACTCCAGGCGTAGTCTATAGCCATAACATTCACTTCTGGGCACAATCAGACATGCAGGCTCCTCTCCCTTTGCACCCATGTGTGGTGCTGAAAAAATTCTGACCCACGCAGCAGGGTGTAAAATTGTATTTCTTTTAAAAGATGGATACGCTTTGCAAATAGCTCTCTCACAGCAGCGCGCTCCCAGCATGTCTGCTTCTTAGTTGTGTGTGTTTCGTTAATGTCTGGAAAGTACTTTGAAGATGAAAAGCCGTGCATAAGCACTCAGTGTTGTAATTATTACTTATCATTCCATTCTGCTTGCTGTGGGCCCTCGTACTTCCTGAAATATAAGGCTGCAGTTAGAGCAGGATAAGCTTTAGAAGGAAATGGCAAGGTGCCCTATAATGGTGCTATAACACTGTTGTGGAGATTGTGCAGTCATGGTCCAAAATCCTGCAGTTTAGTGCTACTCCGGTACTGTACACCATTACTATGGGTTAACGGAGCATTTTTAATAATTGAGTGCCTGTGTACTCTAGTGAGGAGTGCGTTAGAAATACTGATAGTAATCAAGGAACTGGAAGCCAGGATGCTGGATGTAGCATTAGAGGAGAGGCTGCTTTATGGTGGTGAAGAGGCAAAAGATTTTTGGGTGAGCAAGCCTTCATTCTGAAACTACAGTGTAAAGACTCTAACAGGACGGGAGAACGGAGTTACGCAATGGAGGCTAGTTCAGGATGCCCGGCATCTTGCAGGATTGGCTTGTGCGAAGGTCCTGATCTTGTCAGGTGACGAGCAGTTCCTGCTCGATGCTGAGTTTGCTCAGTCTTTTCAGTCATCTGGCTTTGTTGAGGGCTGAGGGCTTGCTTGCACCACCTTGGAAGAAGCATTCAGTGTCTTGCAGGGCCAGGTCCAAGGAAAGTATTGGCTGGATAAATGAACTACAAGGTAGATAGAAAGCTGGCTAGATCGTCGGGCTCAACGGGTAGTGATCAATGGCTCCATGTCTACTTGGCAGCCGGTATCAAGCGGAGTGCCCCAAGGGTCGGTCCTGGGGACGGTTTTGTTCAATATCTTCATTAATGATCTGGAGGATGGCGTGGATTACACCCTCAGCAAGTTTGCAGATGACACTAAACTGGGAGGAGTGGTAGATATGCTGGAGGGTAGGGATAGGATACAGAGGGACCTAGACAAATTAGAGGATTGGTCCAAAAGAAACCTGATGAGGTTCAACAAGGACAAGTGCAGAGTCCTGCACTTAGGACAAAAGAATCCCATGCACTGCTACAGACTAGGGACCGAGTGGCTAGGCAGCAGTTCTGCAGAAAAGGACCTAGGGGTTACAGTGGATGAGAAGCTGGATATGAGTCAACAGTGTGCCCTTGTTGCCAAGAAGGCTAATGGCATTTTGGGCTGTATAAGTAGGGGCATTGCCAGCAGATCGAGGGACGTGATCATTCCCCTCTATTCGGCATTGGTGAGGCCTCATCTGGAGTACTGTGTCCAGTTTTGGGCCCCACACTACAAGAAGGATGTGGACAAATTGGAAAGAGTCCAGCAGAGGGCAACAAAAATGATTAGGGGTCTGGAGCACATGACTTATGAGGAGAGGCTGAGGGAACTGGGATTATTTAGTCTGCAGAAGAGAAGAATGAGGGGGGGATTTGATAGCTGCTTTCAACTACCTGAAAGGGGGTTCCAAAGAGGATGGATCTAGACTGTTCTCAGTGGAACCAGATGACAGAACAAGGAGTAATGGTTTCAAGTTGCAGTGGGGGAAGTTTAAGTTGGATATTAGGGAAAACTTTTTCACTAGGAGGGTGGTGAAGCACTGGAAGGGGTTATCTATGGAGGTGGTGGAATCTACTTCCTTAGATGTTTTTAAGGTCAGGCTTACAAAGCCCTGGCTGGGATGATTTAGTTGGGGATTGGCCCTGCTTTGAGCAGGGGGTTGAACTAGATGACCCCCTGAGGTCCCTTCCAACCCTGATATTCTATGATAAAGGCCCCTGTGGGTGGTGTCCTAGGAGAACACTTGTGAGGGGTTTGCAGCCCTCTTATATGCTGTCGAGAAGCTCTGTCCCTCTTCACTTACCCAGCAAAAAAATAAAATATGGCTCGGTGCCTGTGCCTTATCTTCTGCAATGATTTCCTTTTGTCAGAAACTGTTCCGAGGGGTTAATATCTATTTGCCCAGTTACTCAGTCATCTTTAGGTAAAAGGTCACTTCAGTAAAAAATGACTCTTGGATGAATCACACTGGCTGCAGACGCATCCTAATGATTTTTCTAGCTTTTCTGCAGAACAATAGCGTCAGAATGATCACGTAGGAAATTGTAGCAATTATAGTAACGCAGTAAGTAAGTTTTGTGAGTATAATAACAGGCTTTTGATATCCTTAGGGGGAGAGATTTCCCGCCATTGAAAGAGTATAGAGTAAACTGGAGAGCTGAGGAAATTCCGACCATCACACAAGCACAAACTGAAATCCTTTCAAATAAGGATTTTTTACTTGTGTAGCAAGAATCCAGTCTGCTGCTCTGCTCTAGAGAGAACTGAAGCTAAAATAAAAATCTGCAGTCTGGAGGCATATTTGGTGCCCACACAGTTGTAATACATAAAATCAGTGAGCACAAATTTAAGTAGCTCTGTATGTTTGTACAGCTGGAAGTGTTCTATAGTCCCCCAATTTCCTATTTTAGTGGTTTAAAAATAAAGAGGTGCTTCCAGCAATAATGGGGGCTTTGTGTGCATTGCACGCATGCTTGGTATAGCGTCGTGTGTGGCTATGCACGCGTGTGTTTAGTATAATGCAGAAATGTGTTTTGATTCCTCTAAGTAGTCAAAAAAGAAAATTGTGAAGAAAAATCAGTTTAAAATGTGTGCTAGAACCAGGAAATTGTGTTAATGTTATTGTGTTAATTAATTGTGTTAATATTATTAATTCTTAATCATTTTCTCGTGGAGTAAAAAGATTTTCACTTGGCTTTTATGAGGGAGAGGGAATGGAGGGGTGTGAAACAAGGGTGTCTGAAAATTGAATGCAATGAAATTTTGACCCCCAACTTGTGGCTTCAAAAGATTAAACCCCAGATTTTTTGCACCAGGGATATGTGGGAGCTTGGTACAGCATTGGATAAAGGGTTGTGTTGCATATCATTGCAAATTGATGTATGGATGAAGGATATAAATGTTCTGATGTTTAGTGATAGTTTCATAGCAGAGAGTAAAATCCGGTACAGCTTCCCTAAAGATATGGTATGTCCATGCATTAAAGAATGATTTTAAAAGCCTTGGGACGTTGCTTGAACTAGGCTTCGAAGCCTGGTCCTAGCCTAATGTAGTTGTAACGTCTTCTGTGAAGTGGTTACAAAACAAAGTCGTGGGCAAGTTCAAAAAGTGTAAAATTGGCAAAATCTCTCTCCCAATCCTGAAACCCGCCTAGAACCACCCTCCTTTATTAAATCAAGCCCTATCTTCTTTGAAACAGGATTACTATTTATTAATTATTATTTAATACATCCAGTGTGGTAGTACCCAGAGGCCCCAGTCAGATAACCATTGTGCTTGGGGCTGTACAAACATATACAGCCTGAAGACAGTTCCTGCCCCAGAGAAGTTCAGATGAGTGACGCACGATGGAGGGCAGACGCAATCCAATTATATGCAGCTTTTATGCCGGGATACATTGACCAGGAGAGATTTTAGGCTGGGGATGTGACCCTGTTCAGATAACAGCAGTTCAAATCCGTTCCGCTCAGATAATTGAGGAGGAACTCTCTGCAGAGGGAGGCCTCGGGGGTCTGCTACTTCAGAGTTCTGAAGCAACACGAGATCAAAACCTCAGTTTTACAGTGCTTAGGGGGACTCTGTTATTCAGTAACACAAATAAGGATTTGAACAAGGTGCTGAAGGTTGCCTGTGGGGTAATCTGTGCCCTGGCTGTTAAAATAAATTATTAAAAATTTCCTGTTCACACTGGACGGGGGACCTGTGCTAGCAGCAGTTGTCCTGGGAAAACAGGCCCAAGCAGCGCTGTGCTTGGCAACTATATCTGCACGTGTGAGTAGCTAACAGCCCGGGGTTCAAAAACAGATTTTAGGTAACGTAGTTGGGCCATGCCTGTTGGATCAGGCAAGGCTTTCTTGAGCTGTTTCAGGACAAGCGTAGTATTATAATGCTGGTGGGGCCAAAATGTCCCCCGGCACTAGTGTAGATTCCATATGTGATCCCCATTCAGCTAACAGGCTGCCGTTTGTTCTTTTCAGTGGAAGCTGTACAGCGCCTTCCGTCGGTAGAGGTGGAACCGCTGCCCAAGCCAGTAATACAAGCCTTTGCTCCTCAGTTTGACGAGCCCGCCTGGCGTGTCTCAGACATTCCTGAAGCTGACCTTTCAGCGGTGGATTCCAAAATTGTGATGAGCCTCATGCCCTTTCAGAGAGAAGGCGTGAAGTAGGTCCCATTTTTATGCCATGAAGAGCTAGGTCTGTGTTTATGGTTTGGCATTTCCCGTCAGCGTGGAGTTTGCATTTTTTTCCGTGACCCATCAGAGATGGGTTTGGATCCAAATTTCACCCAAGGGGTGCTGGGCTTTGGTACAGACTCCATTCGTCTTTAAATAGAAGGGTAATGAAGCCCTATCCAGAATTTCTCAGGATGACTTGGGAAGGAAATCACATTTACCAGGGCACGTGATAGTGTGAAATATTTCCAAGTCCTGTAAATCTGTCCCTTCGGCACATCTTTGATGTGCCTCTCTGGGCTGAGTATGTGCACATGGATCATTTGCTTTTCTCATAAATTCAGCTTATGTATCCAAGTGCATTAGCTGATGTTTTCTTTCTTTCTTTTGTTCTTTCTTACAAGTTGTACACGTGTGTAGGGGAGCAAAACTGAATCCAAGGAAGATTTAAAACAACTGATTATATGTGGAGGAAGCAACTTTAAAAATTTTTTTTCTCATTTTTGGTCACTATTTATTAGCAGTATCAAGCAGCAAAATGTCACAGTTAAATCCCCAGCCCTGGATATTACTAATAGTGCTATGCTAATGTTTTTCTAGTCTGATCAGGGTAAACTCTGGAAGAGTAGGTGAGTATTTAGTAGTATCCTGGAAAGAGCAGATTCAAACATCTCTAATGGTCTGGTTCAACCCCAGCAAAATCAAAGTAATTCAGAAGCAGGACTGAAATGGTTTCTTTGACCAGTCGGTTTTGTCACAGTACTGCAGCACCCTGGCATCTGTACATCCTAAGATTGCATATTTGTTGCTCAGTCTCATTCATACCAATGGAAGTGACCCATACACACTGAATGGAGAATTTGCAGTTCAGAGCCTTCTGTAATACCTAGTGCAATCGAATGGTCTAAGAACAAGGCTTCATCTTAATTTTTGGTTCGAGGAATGGTACAATGGTGGAATAAAATGAACATCTTAATCATTTGGGGCCCAATAATTAGGCAGGCAAAAAAAAGAACTTGAAGAACAAATAGCAAAAGACACACAAATTAACATAAAAAAAAGTTTAAGTACATCAGCAGCAGGCAGCTTGCCAAACAATCAGTGGGCCCACTGGATGAGCAAGGTGCTAAAGGCGTACTCAAGGAAGACAAGGCCATTGCAGAGAAGCTAAATGAATTCTTTGGTTGTTAGCCAAGATGGTCAGGGATGCAACCTCATGCTCTGGGTGTTCCTAAGCCTCTGAGAGCCAGAAGCAGGGACTGGATTACAAGGGGTGGATCGCTTGCTAAATTGCCCAGTTCATGGACTGTTGGTCTGACCCACTGTGGCCATTCTCACGTTCAACGTGATCTCAGTGGTTCCATAAAAGTGCAATTCCAAAGTGAAAAGCATTGATGTAAAAAACCTGTCTGTGTGTATTCAGAGCCCTGTCTACTGATTTTAGTGACTAAAATCAGTTTCTTACACCTGCAGACCCAGCACAGCTAGACTGTGTGAGCGGGATTTCATTCCCCTTTCTGCACCCTCAGTTACATTGCTTACTAAGTTCCAGTCAGTTAAACCTGTGGAAATCCACTGGAGACAATGGGACTGCCTGGCTGTAATTGGAGGTAGAATTAGAAGGCAATGTGACTGCACAGATGTTGCTGGAGGTCTCATTTGGACTGCAGAACCTTTTCTGCTGGTGATGATGAAGCTTAAGAAGGAGAAACCTCAGCGTGACTCAAGCTGAGTTTTTCAGGAGCTGGGTGGAATGAATTGGTCAGTCCAATTCCCCCTGCACAAATGTTGGGCTCACAAAAGTCACCACAACAGTTGGGACTAACTGCCCCCCTTTGTCATCTCAGCAGAGAGAGACAAAGGGTTGCACAGACCGGGAAGACTGGACTATCTGCTCGTCCTGGAGATGGTCCTTGCCGATCAGGTTGAGGCATCTTGGCAGGACTGCACGGGGAAGCTTGTGCTGCCATTGTCTGCACTGTGCCAGTTGAGGGGCTAAACCGAGGGCTTCAGTCTGCCGGATTGTCAGGTCGCCACTATAAAGTACTTTAAAAATAAAACCAAAGGGGCCGCAAAGGAAGCCGTCTGCTGTTTCCCTTCCCTCTTCTTTGGCAATGAGCTTCTCAGACTGGGGAGGGATGGTGCTAACCTTGGCTGGGAAGATGGGGAAAGGAGTAACCCTTCTGCCTTGTGTTCTTTCAGTTTTGCCATCTCCAGAGAAGGCCGTTTGCTTCTTGCAGATGACATGGGCTTGGGGAAGACTATCCAGGCTATCTGTATTGCTGCATATTACCGAAAGGAGTGGCCGTTGCTGGTGGTAACACCTTCCTCAGTGAGATTTACCTGGGCAGAGGTACTGTATGTTTAAATAGAGCTTTTGGGGGCTCACCTGTGGTTTTTTGTTTTTGTTTGTTTGTTCTTCCTATGGATTCTATGAGGGATGGCAAAACTGCCCTCCAGTTAGAAAAATAAGGGGGAAAATAGGAAGAGATGGGGTTCCCTTATCCCCTGTAATTGCAAGAAGCTGATCATATGACACATGCTTGCCTGAGTCTAATGGATGATCCTCATTCTGTGTTCCAGAGGAAGGTTAGGAAAAAGAACTTTGACAAAATGGCCTTAAGGAAAAATTCCTCTCTGACCCCATATATGGCAGTTGGTTTAACCTTGTGCATGTGAACCAGAATCACTGTCGTTAAGCATCTTAATTTCACTAATGCCCAAGACACCATTGGTATCCAAGCAATTGTCCGCTTCTTTTGAAACCTACCAAGGTGGGTTCTATCAGTGTCTCAGCCGCTACAGAATTGCAGATGTGGAAATTCTGCAATTCCCACTGACCCCAGCAAGCCTTTTTCAGGGCAAAATTTGGCCCATAAGCTTTAATCTACCAAACCCTCAAAATGCTTTGATATCCTTTCCCTCTAAGCTGCGTGGTCACGTGGCTTCCCAGCAGTGATTCAAGTGCCACACACATCCAGCAGGGTGTGTTCAGGTGCCCCTGCTGCTTTGCAGCCATGTTGCTCCTGTAGCTGCTTCTGGGACCCTCCTGCTGGCTGCGCAGAGTGGGAGGGAGCGGGGTGCGGATGTCAGGGTGTCATCGTCGTCCCCGTTTCCCCCCCACCCCACCGCCCTGTACCTCGTCTCCACAGAGCAGGGAAGAGGGGATAAGTCTCAGGACTCGGAGCAGGAGAGAGCTGCTGCAGTCTGAAGTCCAGTGAGTGAGTGCCTTAAAGAGACAGTGCAAGGTCTCTGAGAGTTTCCCAGCAGCCAGCTCACACAATCTCTGTCTCTGTTACTCACATGCACACAAAGTCTCTCTCTCTCTCTCTCTCCCTCCCTCTCCCTCACACACACACACAGGCTATTGTTGTTGTTGTTTTTCTTCTTGGTACTTCCTGCAATGCACATATATTCTCTGTAGTTTTATTCTTTCAAAGTGTGCTATTTTCGTTTTTTGTCTGGTCTATGCATTTCATAATTTTTTTATTTCTCTTTTACACTTAAATTTAATTCTTTGAGTAGTGAGTTCTAAAATGCCTAACCTGTCCTGGCTGGAGTAATTATCCCTATGGTAACTTTTTAAAAATATTTATTGTATCTAGGTTTTTTTGTTTCTACTGGCGGCACACGTCCGCACAAATTACCTCGGTGCACATAATGAAAGTTATTCCACACATGGGTGGAAAAAATTAGAGGGAACATTGGTCAGGACCTGGAGATGGGCGCTCTCAGGGATTGGGAATACACATAATTGAAAGAAAGCAGGGCTGCAGGGTCTGTCCTCGGGGGGCAATTACTGTGCAATTAAACAGCTTGGGCTAGCAAGATGATTTTGAGACATACTTTCCTTAACTGTGAAATGTTCATTAATGCTGGGAGAAAGTGAAGAGTAGAAGCGCTCAGGCCCTTAGGCTAATAAGGTTTATGCCTGACTTGGTGGGGTTCTTTTTTCAGTAGTTCACTATGCTGTTGCCTGTAGAGTAAATTGGTTGGATTTTGTTGCGTGGTGGGACCTTAGTACCACAACTATTTGTTCTCTTTTTCCCCTGCCAATGGTATAACATAGCACTGGGCAGTCAGCCGAGCTACAGAAGACGTATCTAGATTTTTACCCGGTGAATGAGGGAGTAAAATTACTTATATTTGGGATACGGAGGAGGCAGCGGCGGTATCCTTCAGAGGCTGGTGGAGATCTGGCCCAACATTTTTAAAAGTGGCTATTGATTTAGGATATCTCAATTTTTGGGTGCCCAGCTTGGAATGTCTTTGGTCCTGATTTTCAGAAGGGCTAAGCATTTGCAACTCTAATCTTGTTCTGGATGGGCTCTTATATCCGCACGCGTCACCGTGGTATCTGAGCACCTTCCAGTCATGTATTAACATGTTACGTGGCTTTTGTTCTCTCATCCTTTCCTCAAGGGGGGAAGTGTGTGCAGTGGAGCGTTTTATTATTGTAGATTTAAAAAACAAACAAAAATCCATGTAACTATGTGTATATGTTAGAGAAGGCTTGGTCAAAAAAAATCATCTTGCACTTTGAGTGGAAGGTGGTGAGTTTTGTGATAGTCCTTATGGAATAAACTCCCCCAGGAACTAGTCTCAGACCAACCCCCGAGAAAGCTTTACCCTTTATTGTAGAGAGTTCCACTGTGCCAGAGAAGTGCAGCGGTTGACCGTGGTCTTCATTCCGGAGCTTTAGGCTCTTTTAGATGGGATTCAGCCCACTGAGTGCCTTGAAGTAAGGACTGAGACCTTGAACTTGAGTCGATATTCTATGGGGAAACCAGTGTAAGAACGGGGAGCAGGTTTGATATGCGTGCAGAAGCTGGTGTTGCTGTGGAGACCGCTGCAGTGTTCTGTGGTAGTTGCAACTTCCAGAGCGCCGAAAGCTTCGTGCCCGAATCTGTCACATCGCTGTAGTCCAGCTGAGAGGTGACGAAGGTGTAAATAACAGAGGCCAAGTTGGGACAGAGTCTCCTAGCCAACCAGAGATGGTAAAAAGCATTACTCATGGATGCTGCTATGAGAGTGCTCATTGTCTGCGAGGAATCCAGGAGCCTTCTAAGCCACAGACTGAATTAACCAATTGTGTGTTTGTGAACCGTCAACCAAAGGAGACTGCCCTGTGCCTGCAGACTCTTTAATATGCTTTCCCCTGCCCATCAGCATCACCCCTGTCTTGCTCGGGTTCATCTTCAGGCAGCCGCTCTTCATCCGTGGGCTGATCTCATCCAAGCACTAGGCTCTCGTGGTGGTGTGGTTGTATGTGGTGAAGATAGGTAGAACTGTGTCCTTCTCTTACTGCTGGCACTAGAATCCGTGTCATCTGCCCAGTTCACACAGTGGTTTTAGGTAACTGTGTAATAGGACCAGTGAGAGAATTGATCCTTGTGGGACTGCACAAGTGAGAGGTCTAGTTGCGGAGATATGATTTTCCCATTGTTACTCTTTGGCTACGTCCCTGCAGGAAGGACTCAAACCATGTTAGCGCATCGCCCGGACCTCTGCCACTTCTTTCAGGAGAGGCAACGGTATCTCATGACCAACAGCACTGAATGCTGCAGGGAGGCTGAAGTAATTGAAATAAATGGGAACTTTCATTGCTCAGCACCTGAAAAAAAAATCTGTCTCAAATTGGGGATCCAAAATCAGTGGCCCCTTCTTGAATATTTATCTGCTGGTTTTCATAATGAAATGTGAGCACAAGTAATTCAGTTGCTACCATAGAGCAGCAGTCAGTGGCTCTGTTAGACTGGTTCTTAGAAGGGAAAAAAGACCTTTAAAAGACCCGGATAAATTGTTCTTCATCTGTATCATGGTGCAAAGTTTTGTAAACTTTCCTGCCCTGTAAAATATTTGCTGCTTATAAGTGGGTGGCTTTCACAGCTTCATGTTTACTATTGGTGTGGGCGGAATAACAGTGAATCTCTCTGCTAACAGTGGCCATGCCACTCTAGTTCTGCTCTGGCTTTTGGGCACAACTAGCAACATTGGTAGACAATCATGTTCATTTCTGGTCACAGCCAGAGTTCTTGCTGAGTAAGAAGCAAAGAGAAAGTAGGCTTAGATCTTCCTAGTGGAGGGAGTGTGGTGTAGTGCCTGGAGCATGGGATTCCACTGCTGATGCCTGCTCTTCCAGTTACTCACTGCGTGGTTCTGGGCAAGTCACTTAAACATTATTAGACCCATTGTCAAGTTGGGTAAAACTGAAGCACAAACTGGTTATTTCCAAAGATGTGGTTATGAGGCTCCATTATAGCTTGGGAAGGTCTTTGGGATCCTCAGAGGAAAGACACTAGAGAGGTTCACCAGCCTATTAATCACTTCTTCTCCTTTCTCAGGCATTTCATAGGTGGCTTCCCTCCCTGAGCCCAGAGAGCACCAATGTCATACTGACAGGCAAAGACAACCTGTCAGCAAAACTGATAAACATAATCAGTTTCGACCTCCTCAGCAAGATGGATAAGCAACTCAAAGACACTTTCCAAGTTGTCATTATTGTAAGTTATTTAAATGGGATTAGGAGGCACATACATGCTGGGTTCTCCTGGGTTGTTAACAGGCGTTTGGAGAGAGTGAAACTTTGTAGTGACTGGATGCTCTACACAGCAAGTTGTCTATCCTTATATATTCAACCATGTATTGGCTCCAGGGCAATCTCCAGCGGTCACTAGTACATGTAGATATATATAGGGGGAGGGTTCCTGAAATCTTTTCAGATAAGGTTTGCTGCTCCCCTGCTCTGTACTCCTTATCCTCCTCTCCAGCTCCTGACACCCTGTTTGTTCCCTGCTGGATGTGAGCAGTTGCCATTGACTGTAAGGGAAGATAGATGTTTCCAGTGGCTGGAGAATAGAGTTCCAGAAATGCTCTGTTGGCAGATCAATGGGATTGTGTTTTGTCCAAAGAATGCCATAGTCAACGTGTTTTGAGGAAGGGCCATGCCTTTGACTGGTTTTCATAGAATTTTACCATTGGCTACATTATCCGCATAGCCAGTAAACCAAAAAAACCCTCTTGAAATAATGTTCCGAGTGGTCTAAAGCATCAAAATGCAGCGTAGTCAAAATCAAGATTGATCCTACATACTTCAGTCGGACTGTTTCATTACAAGTGTGTGTTTTGCTTTTTGTGTGTGTGTGTGTGTGTGCAATTTCTATGCCCTCTTTACTTTCATGGATGGCTCTGGTGTCTGAAAAATACAGATTATATAGGGACAACCATTATAGAAAACCCTTAGGTAGACTTCAGCTCTATACCAGTTAATTAAAATAAATATATGTGTATATGTTTAATGGGACCCTTTTAGAACTCCTATTGTTTCAAATCCAGCTTAGATCAATGGCAACCAAAAAGTCATTACACTTTGATGTCTGTTATCTTACGTGAAATGAGTTTAGTGTTCTCAGCCTGGTTTCCAATGAGCAGATGTTTCTGTCACAAAAAGTACCATGACTACTGTTAGTGGCGGTGTCAGCAGAAAGGATGAGAACAGACTGGGTGCTGGAGACTGAACTTTTCTCTCACCTCTGTTGATTTCGCAAGGGTCCAGGCTGAGACACCGTGTCAGGATGGAGGAAGCTCACATTGTTTGAGGGTAGAGCATCTATGACTCTAGAGCAATCAGTCCGGTACCTTTAATCTGCACTAAATTTGCAGATCTTTTATTCATGCACGTGTGTGTGCAGATTCAAATCCTGTATATGTCCTGTAGATCAAAATGGCCCCACTGAGTGTTTAGCCTCCCTGCTTTTTTATTTCCAGTCCTCCTCTGCTTGCCGCTGTCATAATAACATTACCTTATTGCTAACCAGGATTGAGAAAGCTGTGCCTTGGAGGCTAAGTGGTGTATCGTCTTCTCCACGCATGGCTGCTCACTCATCCACATACATCAAGATGAGAACATACCCTTAGAGGGTGCCAATTTCCTCAGCGTCTTTAAGTTCTGCCTAACTACAATGAAGGAAATGTAGCCTATTCTGCGAGTGATGTCTCTCAGCCGGGAGGTTATTATCCACCTGGAGAGCCCTAACAGCAAAACAGTTGGTTCCTAATTAGATTTCTGCACTTCTGATGCTTTTCATTAACCCCTTCATTTTGGGGAGGCGGCACTGCGTGGGGCTCCCCATGAGTTTTGCATTTAAAGAAAGGACACACAGTAGCAAATGAAGATCAGTGGTGGAAATTCTTTGCCTCTTTTCATTTCTTCTCTCCACTTACTTGCTTGGCTATGATCATTCATAAGATTCGTGTCTTAATGTTTGTTTCCCCTTCCTGTTAATGTTCAGACAGTCCTACCCCCTTCATGATGGTTTCACATTCGGAATATGATGTTGGCCAGCCCAGAGATTGAAACCTGCTTAGGGACGATAGGCTTGAAGTATTATGCAGCATAGGATGCTCGGAATTTGTTCTTTATCCCAGAGTCAGGCTATGACTCAGGGCTTAGCTCTATTCATTTTCTTGCCTGTTTTGTTTCAGGATGAATCTCATTTCCTAAAAAACACAAAAACTGCGCGATGCCAAGCTGCAATGCCTCTTCTTAAGGTGTGTATTCCGTATGCCAAGCTCTTGTCAATTTCCTCCTAGAGACTCCTAGCGGTATTGGTTTTGTATACCTGACGTAGGAACGAACAGCCAAATTCTGTTATGGGGCAGGGTAAATCCAAGTAACTTCTTTGATCCCAAGGCAGTTACTTTGGGCTTACACTAGTGTAACTGAGCGCAGAATTTGTCCCCAGATCTCAACTGCATGTTTGCATGCACATGACTGGCAGAAGGGTCTAATGGAAAGAGTGCAGGAGCTCCCAATTTCTAATCCCAGTATTACCACTTGACTTGCTATGTGACCTTGTCTCAATTTCCCCAGCTGTAAAATGGGGATAACAATATTTCATCCCGGGGTGTAGTAAGAATGTATTAACATTTGCACTGTGTATTTAATGTAGCAAGCACCATGTAAGCACTTAACATTTATTACATGCAATAATTTGGGGCTCTTAAGTACTGCTATACTCCAGTATTGTTATTCTAGGCTCCTCCTTCCCTGGCTTTGTGCTAGAGCCCTATGTCCCAACACTGCTTGCTTCCCATCTGTTTGTGCAACTGGTGTTTGGAGCAGCCAAAGCTCCATTGCTGGTAGAATTTATATAATTGAATGGAGAAGTGGCAGGAACTGACTGGTACAGCCCCAGTTTTTGCTAAACAGGTACATTTGTTCAGAAAGGTTTCATAGAATATCAGGGTTGGAAGGGACCTCAGGAGGTCATCTAGTCAATCTCCGGACAGATTTTTGCCCCAGATCCCTAAATGGCCCTCAAGGATTGAACTCACAACCCTGGGTTTAGCAGGTCAATGCTCAAACCACTGAGCTATCCCTCCCCATGGTTGAACTACTACAGTATATAATACAGATAGATACATGCACATACCAGATTTTCATTATAAAGCCTTTTAACTACTTCAGGTTTTCCCAACGTACCTGGGATGTAGAACCTAACCTACACTCAGTGTTGCATTCCTGGCACCTGCTGTCTCATCACTGACAGACCACTGTGCCAGTGGAACAAAGGCACTTCCGAGTCTGCAGCAGAGAAGGGGCTGGGTATCTGTCCTAGGCACAGTGGTTGGCAGTAGTTGAATTAATCTATTGGGATAGGAGACCTACGCTGAGTTTTTTTGCCGATGGTAGCGTTGACTAACCTTGTATTGTGGAGATTTGTAATGACGAGTTCACACGCTGAAGGTTTTTTCTTGTTTTTCTAATTATGCTGTTCTCCATGAATATGTAGATTGAAAAAAGGTCAAAATCCTGTTTTCCATTGGTTTTGAGACTTCAATTGGAAGTTGAGCACATGGTGCAACTTTCTGTGCAAATTGCAATAAGTAAACCAGGGCACTTTTCCTGTTGTAGCACTTCTATGTAATGGACAACACCAACTTGTGTGTGCACACCCTTCTCCTATGCTGGCTGGAGCATCAGACTTGCTCACCTGAGTGTGTGTGAGAGAGAGCATGCCTGATTCTCTTACAATAAAAGGAGAGTCTCCTTTAACTCAAGTGACAGGGCCCTGTGCTGTTGGATGGATTCGAGTTCTGTCACGGCTTACAATTATGAAGTCCTGGGTGGACTACAGATGTGTTATGATTTCACCAGGTGGCTCAGGTCCCAGAAAAGTGTCGTCTTTCCTATTTTGAACTGTGTGAGGATCAGCTTTCAAAACTTATTTGTGGGTTGCATGATACAAGGTAAAGAACCAAAGATGGGCCACTTTAAAAGGAGACCAGTGTCCTTTATTAACCTATTTAGAGTTTACAGTTTTACACTGATAAATCACTGATCGCACCTAATGGAGAGCTGAGATTTCCAACATTGTGAATTTCAGTCCTTTGAAAGTACACTGATTTTTGTAGTGTTCCACTTTCAACTGAAAATGGCAATAAGCAAGGAAATGGAGGCCAAAATATGTCAAACAACTTTCTATCCGATGTCCACGTGAATGCCATTTTGATCATTTCAAATCCTGCTGCTCTAATCTTTTGATTTATGGTGCAAATATTAAATATTTTCTCGCTTAAAGGGACAAAAAAGTGAGGTTCTTTGGTTAAATGTTAACCTTTTTGCAGCTGTAATCCTAATATGCATCAAATAAACACCAAAATGGCTAAAACCTCAGGATTCTAAATATTTAAGTGCTTCGTGATGGCTGGATAAAAGGGTTAGATAAATACACATTTATTATTTATCTTTAAACGTTTTGAGACCTGGGGTGAGGGTCTTACTTCTGTTCCTGCCTGTTTACACCATGTAAAAGAATCAGAGCAGTGTGAAGTGGTCTGGTGCAGGAACTGCAGAAGAGGGGTCCTGACACAGTCTCACAAGCCTTGGTGTAGGGGCGTGCCGGTGGGGGAGTTGAATATGGGAATGCTGTGTATTGCAGCCCTGCGGCTGACACCGTGCTGTGGAGACAATGGGAAGCCCTGGGACGCTACTATAGAGAGGCCCCTAGAACTGTCTGAAGCCTTTGTGTGCTCATACGTTTTGCTGCGTTAAGTTTAAATCAGCGACCTCCCCCCAAAAGCCTCAGAGTATAGCTACATTTTGAGGTGTGGGTGAAAACCAGCTTGAGGAGACATACCTGTACTAGCTCTGATTGAGCTTGTTGCTAAAAATAGAGTTAGCGGCCAACCGTGGGAGGGGCTAGCCGCCCCGAGCACCTTTCTATAATCGTGGATGGGCCTGTGCTCAAGAAAGCTAGCCCATCCCACCACTCGATTTTTAGCCCACTAGTTCAGAGCTAGCACAGGTATGTCTCAAGCTGGGAATCACCCTCGCTCCCAACTCACAGTGTAACAACCCTTTAGTTATGCTGTGGGCCTCTCTAGCCCCCTCAGGGTCGTGAGTGCCTAAATCTGACTTTGTTCCCTTGGCTGTGAGTTCTGCACTGTGCCTCTTGGAGAGACAGCACAGAATCTCATTCTGGGTCTTGAAGCCACTTTCTCGAATAACAAGTAGATGGACGTCTTCCAAATCATGAATGCTTAGATTTCAGCTGATTTATGGGAGAGGAAAAAAACCTCCAAGAAATGTGATCTCTGCTTCTTATTTGCTATAAATATTTATATGCCCATAACTGCCATGGCCAGATTTAAATTGAAATGTTTCTGAGGCTGATAGCGTCCCTTCCATGGGTATTTAATAGGTCCTTTTTAGCGTACTAGAATCTGGTGCTGTAGCTTCCATATTACAGTGGCCAGTAAAATTTAGAAATTGTTACGGTGGTTTAGACAAAACGGCACAATAATCAGATTAAATCAATAAAGAAGATTTTAAGTTTTTAGTATGAATTTGAAAATTACCTTGCTAGCAACAGGGCTGAATATCTGCTTCTGAAATACTTCGCTGTGGATTTGTTTTAATCTTTAATATCTTGAGGTCATTGATCATTTTTCAACATCAAGTGCTATTTTTACCGTATAACTCATCATCTTCTGCTCTGGCGTAAATGTTGCCATGGCGCCGGCACAGGACAGTGATGTATCGAGTTTTCCACTCTACCCATGTATAAAATATGTGACTGAAATCTCACTGTCGTGGATTGGTAAATAATCATTCATATAAATAACTACGTGTCTTGGTCTTCTGTATTGTACACCAGAGTCCTATAAGACCGATTTTGCTGTTTCTCTATCAAGTGCCGGGGATGGGTAGGGAAGGGTTTAGTTCCCCACCATTTGGCTGGAGAAAGTGGGCCTCCTGAGGGCAGACGGCGTTTTGATTTAGTACTTTAAGCAAACGGGATACATAGAATTGTAGGACTGGAAGGGACCTCGAGAGGTCATCGAGTCCAGTCCCCTGCACTCATGGCAGGACTAAATATTATCTAGACCATCCCTGACAGGTGTTTGTCTAACCTGCTCTTAAAAAAAACCCAATGATGGAGATTCCACAACCTCCCTAGGCAATTTATTCCAGTGCTTAAGCACCCTGACACTTAGGAAGTTTTTCCTAATGTCCAACTTATACTGTCCGTGCTGCAATTTAAGGCCGTTGCTTCTTGTCCTATCCTCCAGAGGTTAAGGAGAACAATTTTTCTCCTTCCTCCTTCTAACGACTTTTTATGTACTTGAAAACTATTATCATATCCTCTCTGTCTTCTCTTTTCCAGACTAAACAAACCCAATTTTTTCAATCTTCCTAATAGGTCATGTTTTCTAGACTTTTAATCATTTTTGTTGCTCTTCTCTGGACTCTCTCCAATTTGGCTACTTATTTCCTGAAATGTGGCACCCAGAACTGGACACAATACTCCAGTTGAGGCCTAATCAGCATGCAGTAGAGAGACAGAATTACTTCTCATGTCTTGCTTACAGCATTCCTCTTAATACATCCCAGAATATTTGCTTTTTCTGCAACAATGTTACACTGTTGACTCATATTTAGCTTGTGATCCAGTATGAACCCCAGATCCCTTTCTGCAGTATTCCTTCCTAAGCAGTCATTTCCCATTTTGTATGTGTGCATAGAATTGTTCCTTCCTAAGTGGAGTATGTTGCATTTGTCCTTATTGAATTTCATCCTATTTACTTCAGACTATTTCTTCAGTTTGTCCAGATCATTTTGAATTTTAATCCTTTCCTCCAAAGCACTTGCAACCCCTCCCAGCTTGGTATCATCTGCAAACTTTATAAGTGTACTCTAGTCTATGCCATTATCTAAATCATTGATGAGGATATTGAACAGAACCGGACCCAGAACTGATACTCGATATGCCCTTCCAGCTTGACTGTGAACTACTCGTAACTATTCTCGGGGAATGGTTTGTCAACCAGGTATGCACACACCTTATAGTAGCTCCATCTAGCTTGCAGTTCCTTAGTTTGTTTATGAGAAGGTCGTGTGAGACCGTATCAAAAGCCTCACTAAAGTCAAGATATACCACATCTACCGCTTCCCCCCCATCCACAAGGCTTATTACCCTGTCAAAGAAAGCTGTTAAGTTGGTTTGACATGATTTGTTCTTGACAAATCCATGCTGACTGTTACT